CATTTAATAGCATTTGTAAGTTCATCTTGTTCAAAAGAATTTATATCATTATGACCTTCATTTTTAATCCATCTTTTGATTCCATTGGTCAAATAATAACCAATAGATGTATTATAACTTTGGTACTCAAATAATGGCTTTGGATGATTTGGAATAATAATTTTAAAAGGGATCAATAGTGCTTGTTCTTCAGCATTTAATGCTAAAAGATATATTCTTATAAGCCTTTTATCACAGAAATAATTTGTAGGTTCACTCCATAATATTGGTATAATAATTCTACACCATCGACGGTTTACAAGAAGACACGAAAATAGGGTTTTATAATCATTTCGAAAATTATTAAATATTTCAAAAAAGCATTCGTTAGGTAACATTGTCATTTTGAAAAAACTATGATAAGAAAAAATTATTAAATATTTTTGAAAAATAATATATACGATAAAAAAAAATTGTATTTCGCATCTCTATATATAACCAATGTAATATGTTGTGAAACGTTGTATCTAAATCAAACGAGTGAAACCGTCGTACTAATTCAGTGAGTCTTTATTTTAGTAAGCTGACTTATAATTAGATAATAAATTTACATGACTATCAGCCTCGCTTCGCTCGGTCTCATTTCAAACTTCACAATTTTTTATCATACAGACTAGTACATGATCATGTGGCGGCTTCGCGCCAACTAATAATTAGATATAACAGTATATGGTATTAACAGACAAGACACTGACAATTTGATAATACATGATTAATTGAAATCAAAAAATAAATATTAAGGTGGTATTCTATTTTTTATTTTTGTAGTTCTTTGGCTTTGCATGAGTTTTAAGTTTTTTTTATGTTTTGCCTCGCTTCGCTCGGCTAGGTTTTAAACTCTACATTTTGTTACCATATTTCAACAATCATTAATTGCTAACTTAAAGTATTAATCAAGATTCACAATAATGTAGATGCAATTTAAACATAGATACTAGAACTTTATATACGGGAGGCTTTGCCATTCAGTTTTAGCTAATAATTAGAAGATCAGTTGAAGCAGTTTTATTTGATTAACATTTAAATTTTATCTATCTTTAATGAAATAGAACACAAATACATAAAGCTAGTTTGAAAATAATCAATGCAATAACCTTCGGCCTCAGTTTTACATTTGCTCGGCATTGTTCGCACCACATTGTAGATTCAGGTTTAAATCAAGATTTATAGTCACATGT